TGGTCTTACAGACCATATAACTCGTTCTATACAATATTCTGATGCAAGAAAAATTACAAATTTTTTCCATATGATATACGCAGAAAAATTCGATTTCATACAATAATCTAATACAATATCCTACATAAATAATGAGATAAATACTAAATATTTTAATAATTATTTACATACTTTCGTCTAATACACTAAGAAGTTAAAAAAATACAGGTATTAAAAAAAATTGTTACTTGTCTAGCAAAACTCAAACGTAAAGTTTTAGCTGGGGTAGTTTTCTACCCCAATTGTATTTTCTAGAGTTAAACTGTTTATAATAATAAAAGATAATATCTGCTGATGATAGAGACGATTTTTAGTATTGTCATTTGTTATAATCTAAATTTTAAAGAAGGCAAATTTAGAAAAAATTATATTAACTGGAGCGAATTCTAAGCAAAGTTTTAAATTGTTAATTGCTTAAGTCATAAGTATAATTATGTGAGGCACAAATATCAAAGTTTAAAAATTTGTAATTTTAGGAAAGTATAGAGTGTTTTATAAAATTAAAAAAACATCAGCTTTTAATGGATAAAATATAAAATATAAATTATCTTAATGACATTCAACTAATTTACATAAATTTAATTAAATTATTCTAAATTGTAACAAAACATTCTTATATGATAGACTAATATGTATTTTATTACTTACTATTTACAAATACCGCATTTGGAAAATCCTAAAAATTTGGAAAAATTCTACTAATTTATTACTTATGACGTATATACACTTCGGCTGATGCAATTTCTTTGTGTCTATTTAGATACACAGTTTTTATTAAGAACAATAAATTTATAGAATTTAAATTCTCGAATTACTGCCCTACAGTATGAAAAATTATACTTATTATTATAATTATTATCTTTCCCTTGTAGGGCATATTAATGTAGAATGCATTTTATTTGAAAACTTAGCATCTCCGTTTACAATTTTTCTTTTTTAATTTTCTTTTAGCTGTGTTAGTGAAAAAAAGGACAGCATAAGTCCAAATATCAAAATTGTTCAGGAATCAATATAAAACTTATCACGAATTTAATACCAGATTATAGTAATTGGCAACTCCGAAAATACCTAAGTAATAAGTTTTAAGGTGAATTCTGCATGACGCTAAAGTTCTGAACGTTTACATAAACGAATTTTTTTTGTTTCTTTTTTTAAGTACAAAATATTAATTAGCACATTAAAAATTATAATTATTTCTCACACTGAAAAATTTTTTGTGTAGCAGCTACCCCAAACGAAAAATTTCTATATTCAATTAACTTCATACTTAATATTTACCATGAGTTTTTATATGAGTGAAGTTAACCCTATTGAAAATCCCTGTACAAGATCTTGTACAAGAAAATGTTCATGTTCAACAGCTGAACTTATACTAGTTCTGGTGTGGAAAATTTTCATTTTCTTGCACCAGAATTTGGAACAAGTTCTTGTATCAGAACTTGTACAAGAAAACTTATTTAATATTTGTATACAAGAAAATGTATGTGGGCGATTCCACGTGAGATTTACCTATGACCTTTAAAATTCGTCTAAATATATTTTTTTCTTATTCTTTGCAGAAAAAAAAGGTTTACGTATTTTTTTATTTTTTTATAAGTGCTCAAATTTTCCAGTTATGAATTTTTAAAAATCTGATTTTTTCAAGTTTTTTTGAAATACACCTAATTTCAATGACATGTAAAAAATATTCAAAACAAAAGTTGTTCCCAAAAAAAGATCTACATTTTTGAAGCCAATAAATTGGTCCCGGGACCCAAGAGTGAAAAAAGAAGTATTACGAAAATGCGTACTTTTCGAGATATTTGCAAGTTTCCATACTTTTGGAACAAGAACTTCTTGTATACAAGAACATGTACATTTTCTTGTATACAAATATTAAATATATTTTCTTGTACAAGATCTTGTACAGCGATTTTCAATAGGGAACTGAATATAGAAATTTTCGTTTGGGGCAGCTGCTGCACCAAAATTTTTTCAGTGCAACAAAAGTTAAGTTTAGTTCATTTGAACGTTCAGAACTTTAGAGATATAAGTAATTCTACCAATTATTCAAAATTCTTCAGCCAACCTAAAATTTTTTTAAAAATACTTAATTTCGACGTGTTCTTTTTTTTCACTAACCACGAAGCTGAAGTACGCAACGTTTATGATAAACGATTTTTAAAGAAATAATTTTTTAAAATGAAAAATTCTATAATTTTTTGCCTAAAAAATATTTCTTGTATAGTTTTCATTAATCAACAAATTATAAAAAAATATTTTTTAGGCAAAAAATTATAAAATTTTTCATTTTAAAAAACTATTTCTTTAAAAATCGTTTATCATAAACGTTGCGTATTTCAGTTTCGTCACTAACCCACAGTTTTTATATGCATTTCTTCCGTATGATATTTTCGAAACATAAAAACAAAAAAAAATATCCTTTTTAAGTAAGGAATATAAAAAAAATTATGTTTTTTCTTTTATAAATCACATATATATTTATAGTATTATTTACAATAATTGTTTAAATATTTACATGTATAAAACGTTTTCGATTCATTGAATCGATATTATTAATATTAATATTTTTTAAAAATAAGTAATTATTTACATTTAGTCCAAGTTTTGCATTTATACACTAATCTCATATTTTATAATAAAAAAATCTTGAATATAGGTAGAAAAAGTTTATTGCGACAGCGAACTTAACAAATTTTTTAGTTATTCTACAAAATTTTGATATGCAAACATTAGTTAGCAATTATACACGGAGAAAAAAATCAAGCGAATGTAGTAGCGACAGTAACTACACTACTTTCGCGCGTGCGCTTTCTACGATATTCGTAGAAAAACATACCCAATTTGCAGGGTCCTATACCAAAAGAGTATAGATCCCTGCAAATATCGTAGAAAGCACACGCTCGAAAGTAGTATATAGTTACTTTCGCTACTACATTCGCTTGATTTTTTTCTCCGTGTAGCTAATTCATTTTTTTCCGTGAATATAGTTGCTATTAGTGGACTGATTTTCACTATTGAAATAATTTGCAATTATTCCTATTTATGGCCTCATTGTTTGATTTCTTGAGATTTTAAAGCAATTGTGTGACAATGTTGTTACTATAATAGTGATTCTAACAATAAATGACAAAAATTGACTTTAACATTTTGATAATCATAGTAGGGAGACATTGAATTATTTTATACTATATTTTTTTCATCTCTGCATTATGTTTTATTATCCATTATGTTTTTCAGTTCTTTGTAGTATTATTGCTATTGAATACTTTTGTTTGATATAAAGAATATATTCCTCGGAGGATCATTGATGTCGTTTAATGTGTACTACAGGCAATATTATCGGCATGAAAAAAATTTTAAAAGTATTCAAATCTTCAGGAATTTAACGAGTGTTTTAGATAAATACTTAATGAAATTCAAAAAACTGTCTTTATTGATTATATTAACTACATTGAAAAAAAGAGGGCACATTACGTTACTTTTTTCGAGTTTTGTATCGCGACTCAGAGCTTTGAGGACTGTTGTGAGTCAAGCTCACAGCACACTTTAAAAGGCACACAGTAGTGCGCTCTATTTTTTTTCAGTGTACTGATTCAGAATATTCGTTTTGAACGGAGTCTACTCAAATCCAACCTCTGGTATTAAATATGATAAACCATTTTGATGTTAAGACAAGGCATATCTAATTTTCGTTTTATTTCAAAGCGTCTTAAAATCACCTGATATCAAGATTGACAATGAGTCTGTCAGCGGCTAAAAAAGACAACAGTTATTCCAGACAACCACGTGGTTAAGAGAAGTCGTACCAATTCCCAGGATTACGTCATTCGCATATATTCAAGTACATATAACACGGTGAAGACCGGTCATGCATAATTTGTGTGTGTGTGTAAAGTAAGACGGTGACAAACATTGCAACAGACATGAGCCATTAAGAAACCGTCGTTTGCCCCAACCCCCGCACCCTTTAATCGTCGTCAACTCTGTCACGACGTCATGATATTGCATTCAAGTTACGTACGTAAACAAGCGCGCGTTTTAATTCCCTGAGTATCTGACTTCATATACGAGACTATATACCACGAGTCAACATTAGGAAAATGTAAATGTTATGTAAATTTTAACCCTTCTAGGAACATTTTTCTAATATGTATTCCTCACTACGCCATCAATTTAATTTTTTATTCGCCTCGTGTCGTATGTCTGGTATCAATTCTTAAACATAAACTTTAAAAATATATAGTCTTTGTGAAATCAAAGTTTTACTAATAACAACACTATTATAATGTTTATTATAATAGAATTTTGAAAAATAAAAATACATTTGCTTTAATTAATATGACCTATTAAGTCAATATGCGCAGTTAAGAATTGATAATTATGTGAATTATTAAAATACTGATTGATTATATGACCTTTCAACTTAAAGGTATATATAAATGACTAAATGTGGAGCAACGATTGGCTTTAACCCGAAAATAAAAGTCGACAGTAGCAATGACGTTTTTAACGAGGACTATATAATTTATTTATATAGCCTGTTAGCACCTATAAATATAATGAAATGATGATCGAAGGTCAACAGATTTAATTTACCAAACAGACGATCACGTGCTTTGGGTGTTAACTGGAAAATTTCATTAGCAAGCGTCAGAAATGTCGAGTATACAATTTATCAAAATGCGTGATGTATCGCCAAGTCATAAAATGCGTATTTAGCATTCAACTGGACAGGAGACTATTGTGTCGCATGAATATAGAAAAAGTACTGAGAATGATGATTAAGTTTTTAGATTAGCAAAAGGCAAGGAAAATAAAATGCATATTTAGGAAATAGTATTGGCACTTTACTTTTTTTTAAACATTGTGCAAATCCGTATTTTCTGTCTATTAATTTAAATATATCTAATATAAATATAAAAAAAAGTGATGAGTAAGAATTTTATTTATTTTTTCAGGAGGATATGTTGGGCCATCGATTCCTTTAGCTCCTGCAAATGTGGCAACAAATGGAGGGGGATCTCCTCTTCGACCAAGAACGAGTCCTCCACCACCACCACCGCCACCTCAAGAAAGTGCAGGGGAAACTCAACAAGCTAATCATCATCAGGTTAGTACGTATTCAATCAATTTAATTTAATTTCTTTTTTGAGGATAATTCATTAAAATCATTGATTCTACTTTTAATTAACATATATTGAAGCTAAATCATTTGAATTTACAAAAGCAAGGCAGATCTTTTTTATGGATTCAAGATTATTCTTTAATTATTTATGTTATACCAGCATCAATAAATAATCAAAAACAATAAATATACGTTATATATCACAAAGTATGATCTTGAGACCTTTATTTACATAACTTTATAATTCGTTTGCTTCTTAGGTCCATTTCTTCATATCGCGTCACACATATATATATATATATATATATATATATATATATATATATATATATATATATATATATATATATTTTAAACAGTTCATTGTTATAACCGTTAAAAAAAGTAAATTAACTTTTTATCTTTGGTTTTATGGAGAAACTAAGAATATTATTTAATATTTCAGGGAGCTACAAGTGGTCAGTCTCCAATGGCCGCCCTAATGTCGGTCGCAGATAATCTCACGTCTCCAGAATCAGTACCACAACCACCAAATAATAATAGTCCCACTAGTAGAAGCCCACCAACTACTGCCGCAAATGTACAACAACAACAACAGCAACAACAACAACAACAACAACAACAGCAGCAGCAACAACAACAACGCAGTGCTTCGAGGGGATCTCAACACAGTCCGAATGGTTCTGGTAAATACAATAACTATTTTTCAGATACATATTTTATTGCATAATTTTTAATTTTTTTTTTACTAGAGGGAACGTTCATATATGACGTCACGCAATTTTTCTAGATTTTGAACGCCCCCCCTATCACATAATTTTTGCATTTTTATATTAACACATTATGTCTCTTTAACAGGGTGTCCGGCGGTTAGGGAAGTCAGGGAAATTTTTTAGTCAGTGAAAAGTCAGGGAATTTGATTAATAGTCAGGGAACTTTTTAAAAATTTGCCAAAAATGAACATTTTTATGAATTTTTAAAATTTTCTGGTGCAAGAAAAAGTGAATAGGGTCAGTCGGGGTAAATCCGAACGGGGGGTAAATCCGAACGCTAATTATTTCAGCTTAATTAAAATTTTTAAAAATAAGTTCGATATGAGAATTTTTACCTCAGATCCTCTTGAAGAGATTCTAAGTATTATCCCATTTTTTGTTTGTTAATTAGCAACAGCATAAACAAAGATAACAAGTATTGCAAAAAAGATTGAAAATCATAAAGATGACACTCTTTCAGTATTTTGTCTCGTATTTGAAGAAAAAGAAGCTAAAAATTCATTTTATTATTTATAATTGTTTGTTATGAATACTAGAACAGAAACTATATTTGATTTTTGCCTTCTGTAAAATTTTATTAATAATATCAGACCGTTCGTATTTACCCAAGAAAATTGGAAAACTGGGGTAAATCCGAACGGTATTTTTAATAATTTTTTTTTACATCAAAGCCCCACAAAATTGTTTTTATTTGATTACACTATTATTTTAACATTATAAAAGTACATAGAAAAAAGTTTTTCTTTCTATACGTATCCTCGTTAGTAATTAATAAGCAGAAACTTAATCTCTGTTCTCTCGAAGGAGTGTTTCAATTTTTTTGCCAAATGGTTTGTTGAAAAAAGTTTTTCAGGATCTTAATAAAATTTGGTATTCTACGGTTTTTGGGGTCGCTAATTACCAATTTGAAGTCAGTTTTTCAAAATTCAAAATGGCGGACGAGAATTAAAAAATTCATTGGATTCGCTCGAAAATTGTTACTCGGGGGGTTTCAGGGTTAGCAAATTTGATCATTTTTAAAAATAAGTTTTAGGAAAGTACGCCATTTTGAATTTAAAAAATTTGACTTTTATTTTTGTATTTACATTCAATCACTCCAAAATACTTTCTGTAGCAAGTTTTGCAAAAATCCGTTATGATTTGATAAAGTTATTGAAGGTTTTAATTGTGTAATGCATTTTAATTTTTAACCTGTTTGATTTTTGTATTTATATATGATGCATTATTACATAATAGGTTTATTATCGTATTTTTTTTGAGTTTTTATATAAGTTTAACAATTGCAATACTTTAAATTTATTTTCCCTAAGATTTTTCTGAAATACAGTGGCGTTCGTATTTACCCCCATATTTTAGGAAAGTTGCAAAGTATCGAGGTAAATACGAACGCTAAGTTTCCTGCGATTGTAATTTATCAAAAATTTTTTCTACCTCATAAAATTGTTCTATGTAAGTAAAGTAACAACTTCATGCACCAAAATACCGGAAGTATTTTTTTTTTAAAGAAAAAACTTATGTTATTGTTGAAACTTACTAAAAGCGTTCGGATTTACCCCAGTTGACCCTAAAGCTAATAAATAAAATGTTTTTTATTATCTTAAAAATACTTTAATAATTTATACTTTTCATTTTTTTAATATTAAATATTTATTAAAGAAAAATTGGAAAAAGGTTAGGAAAAAGTCAGGGAATTTTTTTTGTACTTCTTGCTGGACACCCTGTTTAAGTAAGACCCCCACCCTGTCCCCTAAAGCGTGACGTCATATGTGAACGTTCTCAGATGAGTTTATTTTTCATTTGAATGTGATGTTTTTTTAATTGAAATTTAAAAATTTGGTTATAAATATATAAATTTGATGAATTTAACTTTTAAATTTTATCCAATTAAATAATTAATTTTAACGACAAATGCCAAAAATTAAAATTTGAAAAAAATTGTATTAATATTAATGTCTATTGCTCAATATATATATATAAACCGATAGTTTTGAATAAATTTGAATTTAACAAGTTGATTAAGGTATTATTCTGACGTTATCATTTGTCTTTAGAATTTAATGAAATTTAAACTTCTTATGATGAAATGATTGTCTTTAAACGGTGTTCCTAACTTATTACTATTGTAATATAATAACAATATAAGTCGTTTATTGACAATATATAGAGGGAATGGATGCCAAACATTTTATACTGCACATAAATTAAAATATGCTTTCTTTTTGTTCTTACAGGGTCATCTGGTAGAAGGTCAAGTGGTTCTCGACATGTATCATCAACAACAGTGACAACGTCTTCAGAAGGAGCAGTAGCACAATCAGCTGGAACTGAACCAGTCTCTGCGCCAACTTTGAAATGCACATTGTGCCAGGAACGTTTAGAAGACACGCACTTTGTTCAATGTCCGAGTGTTCCACACCATAAATTTTGCTTCCCCTGCAGTCGAGATAGCATAAAAAGGCAGGGTGCTGGATCAGAGGTGAGATACATTTTTTTCTATTCTCTGAAAGTCGACTATAAATTAATACTAATGATAAAGATATTAAAGTAAGCTGTTAAAAAATAGTTTAACAATTGTTTAAAAATATTGTAGATTACTATTTCTTGTCCATACTTTGCATATTTAGAATATTAACTTGAGAAATTTAGACTCAGATTTTTTTTGCAATAAATTCGTTTGTAGTTGGGGTCATATTAATTCTTTGACATGGAGATTAAATATTTGAGGTAAAATTAAAGGCTGACAATAAAAATTGAAATAAATGAGAAAAAGACTGTCACGTGATAAAGAGAATAACTAATTAATTGTAAAATAAAATTTAGTAATTCTAATAAATCACACAGCGAATACCTTTAATACACATTCAAGTAATAGGTGAAAAATATTATTTTTAATATTGCTATAGTAATTAAAATTTTTGAATGAAAATTCTAAAAGAATTTTAATTTCAGGTATATTGTCCGAGTGGTGAAAAGTGTCCATTGGCTAACAGTCAAGTACCGTGGGCTTTCATGCAGGGAGAAATTGCGACAATTTTAGGTGAAGATACAGCAAATACTGGTCTTAAAGTAAAGAAGGAGCGAGAAACTTAAAAACCTTAATTAAAATGTATTGAGGCTACAAATTGTGCTACTCTTAATTGGGTATTTTTTTGGTGAAACCGTGAAGGTTCATCAAAATTTTCTTTTGATAATGATATCAGACTTAGACATTGGTTCGAAGGACCAATAGTCGATAAGAGCCGAAGACGTGGATGTGATTTACCTGTGATGTTATTTTGAGTCGATTGAAAATTTTGTATCACAACATTTTCGAATGTTGCGTCCAAGTTACCGCAAGAGATGCATTGGTTGGATTTTGAGCAGCAGTCTTTGGCATTCGTGTGAATGGTTTCGGCTCTGTACATACATGTGATATGGGGGAGAGAATTGTATAAAAGAGCAAATTTTTTTTTTCATCGTGCTCTCGGGAAATGTGAAAAAATGAGTCAGGATATTCTGTTCTTTGTCAAATACGAGGATTTACATCTTTTTGAACTCGTACTTAGGCTTGATCGCCTTTTCTTTATTGTATTTGTATCTCAAGCTCCGTGGAGCACATTTGTAAAAAGTTCTTTCGATTTATTTTGTACCATATTTTTAGCTACCGATTCATTTCGGTTCCTTTGTGACGATAGAATCGTCTAATAAGTCGTCGATATCTCTCGACATTCTTTTTTTTTTCTTGTATAATAAGCACTACTAAATAAAAAAAATAATAAAAAAAAAAAAAAAAAAAAAAAAAACAACAACCCAGCGCTAGGGTTTTATGTAAATTCTGTATATGTGTACATATTTTTATGATATAAGTTAAAAAATAAAATCGTAAGATTAAAGAGTAACCATCTTTCAATGTACAAAAGATCGTCATTTCATGCTTTCTTTAAATTATTATTCGTAGATTTTGGACAAATCGTGTCCGTAGTGTTGCTGTTTTTATCGAAATTTCACCAACTACTGTATTTCCCTTAAGATGAGTCAGAATGAGTCTCTCTTATATAAATTCTATCTGAAACAATATTATGTTGCCTTTAATTTAAACGCTAGTCTTTGAGAAAGTGCTTTTTGGTTTTATATTTCTTAGATTGAAAGAAGACATTGGTCTTTTTATATAGGAACCGCACACTCGCTACGCCTGAGAAATAGAAACTAATCGTGTTTCACTGGCGTCCGGGGACTTTTGTAACATGTGCACGTTCAGCGAGCCCTGGACGTGCAGAATATTGTGTATATATTTGTACAAAGGAACAGGACAAACTATAATTGTATATGTATAAGCGTATATTTGCAAGATTATGCAAAAAAAGAAATCAGAGACATTGCAAATCCTTTAACGACTTTCAAAAACACATGTGCGCAATAGTCTCAGGTAGCTTTTTGCAAATTGTACTTTTTAAATTTGGTTCGATAGTCAAACGACGAAATAAAGTGAAGGGAAAAAGTAAAAAAAAAAAAACTACCCGAACCAGCAGTAAAGATATCTTTTCTGCTAAGAAGATTTTTAAAAAGGCATGATTAACTTTTAGTAGTGCATACAGCGACCGTACGTGATTTTTCTCATCCCTGTTGGTAGTTCCTACCCTTTGATGCCAATACAACTTTTTAAAAATAAAATACACTTCTCTTCCTTAAAGGAATAGAAACGAAATATTGTATTTTTTCTATGTTCGTGGACGTTTTATAGAAAAAGCTACAAAAAAGTCAAGTATGTAACATCTTTTTGAAAAACTTTTTTCAAAGTGAACGCTTGTTATCGATAAATGAAAACGCTCCTCAAATGATAAGGTACTTTCGTCCGATTTTCTTATAAAAAAGGCTCAGATTTGTTAAAAATAAATATATCCGAATTGTTGAAAAACAAAGTAAACCTATAAAATAACAATTTCTGATAATCAAAAGTTGCACGAAACGGCAGACCACGAAATTTATAACTAGTTATTAATTTTGGACAAATTACAATTCATTAACTATTATCAAGAATTATTATTTCAACAATTTCACAAAATCACCTTTTTCAACAAGTATGACATTGAATGTTTAATTATTCATCATTTCCAGACAAAAGAAAAAAAACACTTTTATACTTTGAACAAATTATAAAATATTATGTGGAAATTTGATTCAAATACTTAATTATAATAATAATTAGTCTAGGAATGAAGAATAATTTTATTTTTTTCGCGCATACTTTGTTACGTACAAAGTAGGCACGTCTTCCTAAATACACATTAACTTAAATGATAAAAATTGTTTTCTATATTTCTTGTATGATCACAAAAGCGTACGTTGAATAGCAATTGTAGTAGTGGATAATAAAAATTTTCTAGTGTACCATATTTCGAGAAACGCGTTACACTGTACTGTTTATCGTATGTATACAACAAGCAAAAACAAAATATATGTGTTGATGTGTAACCAAGTAATGTTTTTATTAATTAATCAACCTGTACAGTTTTTTTTTCTTAAGTTCATTGCAAGCACAGTCGATAAACGAAAGTTTACATTCGTTGATGGCATAAAAACAAACTGACCAGACATGGAGTTAGTCTGCTTGCACTGTGGGCGTTTGACCTTGTTCCTCGATTGAGCTTCTAGTATCTAGTTTATAATTTATAATCGATACAATTATTATTATTACAATAAAATATTTTATTTTTATATTTATGAATATTATAAACTAAAGTAGTTTATAACATTTTATCTGATAAATTTTCTGTAGGTATTTTCTCAATTTTTCTTTATTCAAAACATTTTAACAAATACGTATTTTGAGCATTTTTTAAAAATAATTTATTATTTGGTAATAAATTTTGATTGTAATTCCCGGAAAAATTACTGGTAATGACTACCGATAGTCCCGGAAAATTTACTGATAGTGACTACCGGTAGTCCTGGAAAAATTACCGGGTAGTGGCTATCGGTAGCGGGAGCGGTAATGACTACAGGTAGTCACTACCGGGAACTTTTCCACCTGGGTACAATAAATAAATAAATTAAAAAATATGTAATTTTTGCATATTATTAACGGATATTTTCATTTTTCAACTAATTCATACATAGAATTAACGATTAAACGCAAACCTGAGAAACGAATAAATCTAACGCAGGGGGGAATCGAACCTACGGACTATGAGCCTAACGCTGTACCAACTACGCCACGTATGCTACGTGAAAACGAATTTTAACTTCATGATGCTATTTAAACTTGCAAAATACCTAGGTGAATTTTCAAAAAAAGTAAAAATATATTTTTATTAAAAACGCGTTTTTCGTTGTTCTGAATCATTGTAAACATTAATTTTTTGGTGATAAAAAAATTTTTTTTTTGACTTATTGTTAGAAAAATTTTTGAGTAAGGCAACCGAGGGCAAAGAGTGGGGGCCCTCATGGTGCCCCTGTGGATTCGTCGACTTGCATCCCCAATCCCAAACTTTATAAGGAAGAATTATCATATTACAGAATTTCATTTTTTATAATTTATTTTTTTCGAATATTGTTAGAAGGTTATTGTATTTTATAATAATTTTGATTTGTTTTAATTATGAATTGAAGAAAAAAGTATTTAAGATAAGTACATTTTACTAGATAAATAATAATTAATAATTATCACTTTGCTGAATGCTAAAATTGTAGAAGTTTAAATTTTTGAAATGTTTAATAATAATATTTTTGAAGGTTAAGTAAAATGGAATGAAGAATTTTTTTTATTGATGGAATGTTTTTAGTATGGATTTTTATTTACATACTTCTTTATTTATTAGATTTGTAATATATTATTTTATGTAATTATTAACATTTTTATTCTTCGATATCTTTCTATAATTCATTAAAAGTAAATTTATCTTACATAAAAAATAAAATAAAAAAAATAGATAAATATTAAAATTTTAAACTATTAATATTAAATATTATAATAATATAAAATACAACAAAAATAATCATAAAATTAATTTAGATAAATAAAAATTTAGTCCTTTTCTTAAAAAAGACAGTGCATGCAAACCAGGGAGTAGTATAAGGAGACCGAACGGCCATTATGAATCCGCGTCAAAAGTGGCCGCACTTTTGGTGATCGTAATTCCCATGGGCACACTTCTGTCGATAGCAGCGCCCCACTCGGAGAGGCTGACACTATCGTTGTAAACAAGAAAGCATGATATAACCTCTGCTTTTTTAGTTTGTTTATCGTGTGCGGTTTATCGTTTAGTAAATAAATTACGACTGAATTGTGATAAAATTTTAACACGCTTAAAATAAAATATTTTGTGAAGTGTAATGTCTAATAAAAACAACATATGTACTGAATAATCACAGTAGCAGACAACAAATAGTGCCACTTTTCTACACTAAGAGCGCTGATATCGACAGAAGTGTGCCCATGAGAATTACGATCACCAAAAGTGCGGCCACTTTCCGCGCATGGCGTTCGGTCTCCTTATACTACTCCCTGATGCAAACCACATGAAAATGTATCGAAATATCTCGATGGTCGAAAAAATTGAATGTAAGAAAAAATGAACTTTGCTTTCCAGAGCATCTAAATTAATATTCATTTTATAAAAATCACCTTAAATTATTGTTCCACATATATATTTTGCATAACTTAATTAATTGCCATAAATATACACTTGCAAAGCATTTATTTGTTGTAAATATTTGCAGCTGTCATGAATCAGAAATGAACATAACCTACAATTTAGTTCCAATCACTTGATTGGCCCAAGACAAAATAGCGCGTGCTTTTTTAAAATAATGAAATTTATTAAATTATAATAAAATAATTGTAATAAATTAAATTATTATGAAAATAATATTACCTTGAATAAAAAAGTGTTTTTAGTTTTAAAAAAAATTATTCAACAATTATTATTATTTTTAGACAAATTTTACAAATATAATAGATTATTATTTTTCTGTTTGAAACTTACTCTATAATTACATGCCTTTTTGCATTTTGTTAACAATATTATTAAATATTTAATCAAATAATTGTAATAAATTATGAAACATTAATTGAAAATTAAATTGAATGGACAAAGAATAGAAGCAACAGAGACGGCCTAAGGCCGTCGGAGGCGCTAGTAATATATAAAATTAAAAGTAATAAAATTTGCGTATAATAATTATTAAATATTATAAAAAATTTAATCATCGACAAATAAATGGAACAAAAATTTCTAAATATTAATTGTAAATTCAATACAAATTCATTTTAAAAAAAATTAATTATAGAAATATATCGAAGAATAAAAATGTTAATTACATTTAAGTTACTTAATGAAAAAAAGTAACTAGTTACTGTTACAGTTACTTTAAAAAAAAGTACCTCGTTACAGTTACAGTTACTTACAAAGCAAATTTAGTTACATTTGAAGTTACTGAAAAATTATTTTAAAATTTGTCTTATCGAAATTCATTCATTTTAATAAAAACATCATCTATTCTTTCCCCTAAAGTTTTACGTGTAAAAATTTAAAAATTTCCTGATAATCCAAGTAACACTAGGTCTTTAAAAGATGATTTTTCTACAACACTTCTATTACATAATCCATAATTTTTTATCCAATATTTTTTGAGTAACTAGCTTTGAATCGGAAGTCCACACCGAAAAAAAAGTATTCTGAAATGAAGTATACAATATTCTAAATTTTGTTTAATTATTATATATTCTAAAATTTTTAGTATATCTCCCATTTATATCTGCAATAATAGTTGGTATTCTTAAAAGAAGAATATATTCTAGAACTTAGAATATAATATTCTTTGAAAAGGCGTTATGCGCATGTGTGATTGCGCGACCGTAAAACGCAGAAGCAAGTTGGAAAATACCGGTGTCCTCGTGCACGGCGTAAAACTTTTTCAGTGTTTCGGGTTAAATTAATATTAAAAAAATATTACTTCGAGTGTCAATATGGAAGAGGTTAAAATGTGCCTTAGAATGTATTATAGATTCTATAATTGTTTTTTAGTGGTTTTTAGCGTTACACGACGAACTCGTATCATTTAACCCCTACTTTCTTCGCACAGGAGGTGATGGTAACTCATATATATTTCTTTTCAGCATATTTTATAATTTAAAATTTAATGTAAAAGATTATCTTTTTAATCTGCACTAAATATTTTTCATTATTTCCAGCATTATTTAATGCATATTTTCGTATTAAATATCAATATTTTATTAATTTTTTATAAGAAGAATACTCTATTTTTAAATTTAGTATATTCTATTCTTCATTCAAGAATATTATCATCATTATAGCTCTCAAATGATTACACTGAATATTAGAATACCTTTTACTCGATCACTAGGTGAATCCCCTCTAACATCTAGAATATATTCTTGGCACCTATTTTAGTGGGAGATATTCTTCAAGTTAGTGGGAAATACTTAATTTAAGAATATTGTTTTTTCGGTGCAGTTTTCCAAAAGAGTTTGCTTCTTATTTGACTGTGATGAAGAATCTGAGAATTGTTCTTCGAATATTCTCTTTTTTTTTCTTTCGCTATAGCTACTTCTAATTCTTTAACGCATCCATGTTTAACCTATCCAACTATTTATTTATAAATTTTTTTTAAATATTATCATTATTAGAAAATTAGTTTTTATAATCATGGATTTTGTTTGCCATTTTAAGAATTAATTTACAAATCAATTATTAAGGTACAATTTCGACACGGGGTTGCTAAAAATTATTTTTATAAACTCTTAAATAAAAGTCTATATAAAACATCCGAATACAAATAAATTAATGAATTAAAATCTTATTTTAAAAAATCTTGTACACTGTTTAAATTATGCAGGTAAATCCCCTATATTGCAACAGTAAACCAAACGAATACACGGGAAGAAGGTTACACTTAAAAACACGGTGTAAGCACCTTATTTCTAAGTTGCGACACATAGAAATAAGGTGCTAAAATTATCACCATCTTTTTCCGTGCACGCATCGAAATTTTCGGTGCGTACACTTGGCGTACACCTGAAAATCCTGTGCCTGCACTGGATTTTACCGTGCTTGGCCCACTGTTTTTATCCGTCAAACAAGGCACTGACTTTATAAGTGAAACCTTCTTTCCGTGTACGATGGAACACGAGCACATGAAAAACAGAATGTAAACACTCGATACAATGCGCAGCATGCGAGCGCAGAGGCCATGTTCTTTTGCTGTCACTTTGCGCGCTTTTTTTGAAATACGAAATTATTAAGTTTTTAAAGCAATAAAAAAATGCAAAGAAAGTAACGAAATAACTTAAAATTAAAAGTTACTATTAAAATAGTAACTAAGTTACGTTACAAGTTACTTTTAAAAAAGTAACTTAATTACGTTATAAGTTACAAGTAAAGTAACTTTTTCAGTAACTTATAGTGACTAATAACTAGTTACTACCCAACACTAGTGAGTGATTATACGAGTGTGACGTTTGCAGCACGAGGCGAAGCCTAGTGATGCAAATCACACGTGTATAATCAGATTTACGCACGTGTATCATACAACATTTTTTGCAACACCCACCTCTAAAGTTAAGTACCTATTATGAAGAATTCCAACTCTCTATCAGAATAATTTCGATTGTATAGAATTAAAAAATTCAATCTAAGATCAGGAAAAATATCATTAAGCAGTAGTGTATAAAATTGAAAGTAAAATTCTTTCTTTAATTTTGTGGTTTTTTTATGGTCTAAAACAATCCTTATATTATGTAAGAGAAATTTCGGTGCGTAAAGTAAATTTCAGTGCGTAAAGTGAATCACTTTACACACCGTTTTAAAAACAGCTTCTTTACACACACTTTTCGGTGTATAAAATTTAACTTTAGAGGTTAGTGTTGCAAAAAATAATATATTACAATTCTAATAAATAAAGAAGTATGTAAATAAAAATCCATACTAAAAACATTCCATCAATAAAAAAAATTCTTCATTCCATTTTACTTAACCTTCAAAAATATTAATAATAAACATTTCAAAAATTTAAACTTCTACAATTTTAGCATTCACACGGGTAATAATATAACTAAAAAGAACTTTCTTTCAATCAGATTCAAAAAATTCTATTATTTCCTTAAATTTAATTCATTGTGTTTAAAGAAAAATTATTTCAATGAATTATTAAAGAGAGGTGAAAGTAAAAACTCCCTCAAGTGTAAATCATTTAGATTTCTAAACGTTGGAGTAAACGAATTAAAACTATTTGTCCAAATGTTTTCGTTTATTTTCACCTCTCTTTAATAATAATATTCTTCGGATGTAAAAGATTAAATAATTATCTCAATGAAATATTAATAGGACGAAACTATAATAATTTATCTATGTACTTTAAAGAGATGATTTTGTATTTGAAATATAATGAAGGTAAGAATATTGATCACTTACCTTCATTATTAAAATACCGAGTAATAAATACAAAATTGTACTTATTTAAAATACATTATTATGAATGAAAAGTTAATGTCTAGACAGTAACAATTACTGCATTATTAAGTCCAAGTAAATTATTCACCTCTTTCAAGTGTATAAATACTACGGGTTCATTGATAGTAATACAGATGAAACATTTCATTCTCTTTAAGGATCAATAATGTTGCACTCATCTCTGATTCAGTCCTTCCTATTGACAAACATTTTTTGAAGTAACAAAAAAGGAATTGTTTATAAATGTATAAATTTTTTCCAATTTCACAAATTTAATAAACTGAAAAATCCATGAACAATATAATTTTCAATAAATTCCTAAAATTAATTCACACAAGCAACTTAAAAAAATGATTATTTATTCAAATTGTTTGTTACAGTGGGATTCAAGCATTATGTCTTGAACTGGATAAAATTCGGACTTCTGGCAGTACAACAATTAGCACATTTCGACATCAGTGTGATTCAGAAAGATTTAAAGATGATGAGGATTACTTTAAACATTTGGTATTACCAACAAAGTCAATAATTCAGCAAGAATCTGTTGAAAGAGAAGATTTTTCAAAAGCAACATTGCCAATGACAGAATATTCATATATTAATAAACCAACAATAATCGAAGACACTAATCAAAACATTTTTTTGTCTGAAAAAATATCTCAAAAAAATTTATCTCTCAGTCCACAAACAATACAAGTTTTGGATAACATTGAAACGCTGATCCAAAATGCACAAAAACAATTGTCAGAGATTAATGATAATATTTTGTTTTACAAGAAAAATCCTGAGATGTAAGTGAATGTTAATTTTAATAAATTTTCAAATTACAAAAGTAAAAAATATTCCTTGTTATGTTTATAAATATTAATTATAATTAGTATTTATTAACATAACAATGAATTTTCCACACGAATTTTTTTATCAAGATTCGCAGTAGAGAATCGACGCCAAGTAAAAAAAAATTTCCCGAATATATTTTCTCAAAATATTTGCATTTTTCGACCAAAATTGGATATCTCGAAAAGTTCTTTACCGATTTTGTTCAAACCTTTTTTGCCGGGTAAAAAATATAAAAAAAATTTTCTGTGGTGAAAATGAGGGGAATACCAAAAAATTAAAAAAAATTAGGCTCAAAAAACTGAAAAATTTATGATTTTTTTTATTTTTAGCCACTCCTGGAGCCTATACAGTTTAACGGATTCGTATGAAACTTACAAATAATATTAACTAGGTTATAATCTCGATATACATTTCAGGAAATTTCAAAACACTCAAAAAATTTTTTCTAACACACGCACCGAAAGTACACCATTTCTTACCTGTAAAGGGGGAGAAAAGTATGTCTTTCCCGGCGAGCGGGAGGGAAAGTTACTTTCCCTCCCGCTGACGTCACTAACAGGGAGGAAAAGTACTTTCCCTCTCTGTGACGTCACTAGCAGGGAGGGAATGTAACTTTCCCTCCCCGTAACGTCAATTTTTATTTCTGTTGTTTATAGAACATTAAGAAGAACAAGAACAGTATATTATTGAATTTACTGTCAAACTATCGATTCGAAATATCGAGTTTAAGTTTAATGTTGATATTTCGATATATCGAATCAAATTTAAAATCGATAATCACGTAAACAATAGTGTACACTTTCTCCGCTTGGCGTCTCTGTACGTTTGTTGTCATTCTGTCAATTCTGTTGATCAGTAATAACATCATTTAATCTCAATGTAGTCGACTTACTATAAAAGTTATATTTTTCGCTAAAATTTAATAATAAAATGCCGTTTTTAGAAAAATTAACATTCTTTATTTTTAATCTATGTACTTTCGCTATGTGTGTTAGAAAAAATAGTATGTGCAACTCGGGAGGAAAATGATTTCCGTCTCGTGTATTTGCAGTTCTCGTCTTCGCTCGGGCACTCGCTACGTTTCGAACTGCAAACTACACTCGCGGAAATCAACCATTTTCCTCCCTAGATGTACAATATATTATTTTTGCTTGATTTTTAGGTAGACGTGGAGCTCATAATTCTTTACCTATTCGCATAAAACTTACCAAAAATGCCAATTATGTTAAAAACTCGATATATAATCAAAGAAATCTGAATACAATCCAAAATTTTTGAAGTTTTTAATTTTTTACGAAAAAAATTAAAATTTTTGATAATTAGACACACCTGGAGCCTATAATTCTTTACCGATTTGCATGATACTTACCAATAATATCAATTAGGTTAAAATCTCGATACATAATTGTGGATATTTGAATACACTCAAAAATTTTTTAATTTTCACTTTTTTTATGATAATAATCTAAAAAAATACATGACATAAAAAGGTCGAATGGATATATCTCAATATTTTTTGTATTGAAACTACACATTTTTAACTTTCCAAAAAATCAAAATTCACTGTTAATTAAATTATCCAAAATCGTCACCTATATAAAATAAAAGTTACGAATTCTAGTTTTTTTAATAAAAAATTTTTTAATGGCTTGTATCTAGAAAATGAGGTCCTACAAACACATTGACATAAATAAAAATCATTAACATAATTTAAAACTTATTTCTAAACCTTAAAAAACAATTTTTTAGGAAAAATTTCAAAATCACCCCTAGAAAGGGGTGAAACTTCTCTAAATGAACAGCTACGATTTTTAGGTTAAGTTTTGTCGTTTCAGGAGGTGCTAAGGAACCACCAGGTAACAATGATTTTTCTTAGCATCGTAGGCAAACTTTTTTTACTTTCCAGACACCTGTGAATATTACTCTGATTAATAATAATAATAATTAATAATATTATTATTACTTATAACCTCTCTATCATAACATTGTCTTGTGCAATTTGACATATTCTCTTCTGTTATATTATGGCTCTATATATACTTCCGCAGTAACCATTTTTGGTTACCGCACGATCTACTTATGCATAGAGAATCTTCCTTCATTGCCCTCACTTTCTTCTTTTTCTTTTTAAATGACTTGTGGCAATGCTGAGTGTCAGACCTATAAACAGAGAGAAGAGAAGTAAGGTTTAGTCCATATGTGAGTATTTATAACTCGTCCAGAAATCTGCACAAAAACAGGAGGCGTCCTCGGGGGGTCGCTAGTATCCCCGGTCACATCTGACGTAGAGCGTATGATGTTAAGGTTTTTGCCATAAGGAGAGGTTATTCAGGGTTAGGGATACTTTAACTTTATGGCATTTCGCAAAGATTAAGTCTGCTAAGGGGACCAATTCTGGGTTCAAATTCGGAAACTTTCTCTCAAGAAATGAGTAGAACTGAGCTCTCTTAGGCTCCAAGAGGGGACACGAGTGTAATAGATGCTCCAATCTCTTTAGGTCTGCACCACATTTACAACCACTCTCCAAACTCCATCTCATCCTTTCGAAATTCGAAGTGCTCCGCCGTACATGTATGGCCTGATCTTAATCTAGTTATAACATTTATCCCAGCTCTTTGTAAGGATATATTCCTAAACCAGAGTCTACGTGAATGAAAACTGATGTTTGAAAAATATCAATGGTTTAGGAGATCTCTATCAGAAAATGGCCACAACTGAGTAAACTATGCCACACGGTCTGGAAGGAGAGTTGTCTTGATGATATCATTTAAAGGAGGGGAGAAAGGAATTCTACTTACCGAGCCATTGACCTCCTTACACACTCTATCAATCTTATGATTACCCTTAAATCCAGAATGGGAAGGAATCCAAAGAAAGCATATGTTTACAGACTGCGAGGACTCAATCGGAGGAGCCATGTGTACAAGTTCAAGAATAGAAAATACTATTTCAGGGGAATCCCTATACCTCAAACAGTTCGCAATACGCTGCACAGCAGAAAGTGAGTCTGTGACTATAAGGACTTCCCTAAAATTCTGCTCACGTGCAAATTTCACCGCTCTGAAGATAGCATAGAGTTCCGCAGTAAGAATAGTTAAAATGGGCTGTAAAGGTGAAGCCGATATAAAATTAGTACTCTCTACCAGGAAAGCCGAGGAAGCCTTACCCGTTTCGGGATTAAGAGAAGCATCAGTATAAATCACTTCCGCTTGTGGGAAATTCTCCCCAAGAAAACTTCTAAGTGCTTCCTCACGGTTTGCCTGAGCAGTTAATGCTGCTCCAGATTTTGTGTCACACCACGGAAAACAGGTAAGAGCATTCCAGGACCAGTCAAAAAAGTACTGTCTTTTGGTTCTAAAAGTATCCAAAAGTATTGATGACATGCGTTTCAAAGCATTAAGTAGTGTAAGTCTCTCATTGTTCAAACCAAAAGAGAACCTACGAGACTGCCTCCACAACTCAATCAAAGATGATGTTAACGGATTATCCGTCCACCTAAAGTTTCTAGCAACGAACATATTCGTCAAGTAAGAGCGTCGGAAATAGAGAACGGGTTCATTTGCCTCAGCCAATAGAAATAAGGTTGGGGTAGATCTCATGCAACCCAAGGATATTCTTAGCGCCGCAAATTGAATCCGATCTAGGATTTTCAAATTAGATGTGGCAGCATCAGAAAAGAGGGGAGAGCCCTAGTCCAAAATTGCGCGAATAAGGTTACGGTAGACCATGAGCCCACGTAAGTCGGGAAACAATCTTTAAGATACGCAGCGCCCTGACCGTTTTATCTGCCAGCATCTTAATATGTGGGCCCCAGTTTAACTTACGATCTAAAAGGATACCCAAGTGCTTCATAGTGGGTAGGCATTGTATCTTAGTATCTTCCAAGAAGATGTGAATATTATCAAAAGTTTTTCTGGATCTCGAAAAAAATGCAGCAGGATGTTTTGGCGGGAGCCACATTTAGGCTTATTGATTTAAGCCAACGAGCCAGATTGTTTAAAACTACCGTGACTCTTTCAGAGATCAATTCTAGGTCCTTAAACCTAGTATATAAGAGCAGGTCGTCCGCATACATGACAAAGTCAAAATTCCGAGGAAGAACCTCTCCAATCCTTCTTAAGTATAGATTAAAAAGGATAGGAAACAAAACTCCACCCAGGGGCACACCCAACCCACATACCCTTGGTCTCTCGTCATCAGAGGCAAAAGATATCAGTCTTTTGGATGTTATAAAGCCTATGAAATTGATAATATTAGGATGTACTTCCAGCTCAATCAAAATCGCATACTGGATACCTGGTCTAACAATGTTAAATGCTCCTTTAATGTATATTGATATCGCCAACGTATGGAATGACTCCGCAAACCCGCTAGTGACATCAGTGACAAACGTGGCTACACAATCAACCGCCGATCTACCCATCCTGAACCCGAATTGATGAACAGGTATCAAGTCACAACATAATGCTCTAATCTACTTCTAATTAGCTTTTCAAAGATCTTAGAAAAAACCGAGGTCAGTGCAATAGGGCAAAGCCCTTGCCTCCAGGCTTGGGGATTAGAATGACTTAAGTCTTTCTCCAGTCCTCCAGAAAAGAAGATAGTAAAAACATTCTATTAAACAATATGAGGAGAAATTCAAGCGCAATAGGACCTAAACCCTTGATCACTTCGCCCGTTATCCCATCTAGACCCGGCGCTGATTTAGGTTTGCTTGTTTCAATGGCTACTTGAAGTTCATTCTTCGAGAACGCACGAAACTCCACGTTATCAAAACAGGAAGGAGACTTTAAATAAGGGATATTAATAGGCGGAATATCCTCCCTGATCAGGTTATTTTTGAAGTTAATAACTTCAGGAGAGGAGTTGTCGTTCGAAATATTAGTATTTAAAAGTGCCGAACGGGAAGAAAAGGCTCTAATTGTTCTCTATAACTCCGCTGTTCCTTTCC